AAACCATTATACCCTGATTTCCCATTTTCAATGGGTTCAGGGTATAAAAAGGATAAGAGATTAAACTAAGACTGAGACAAAGAGATTGATGAGCTGTGATAGTGAGAAAGGCGAAGATTGTGAAGAGATTTTCTGAGAAAAATAGAAAAAGGTAAGAGATAAAATTGGAAAAAAATGAGAGAGAGATAGACAGCGAGAGAGAGATAGACAAAAAGTGTCAGAGAGCGAGAGAGAATTAAGAGAAAAAAGGAGAAACAGAATACTATAAATAAATATATTAAATAATTGCTCACTTCTTATACCAAATTTGTTCGTATGTGTCATGTGAATGAAGAAATAAAGACAGAGAAAAAGGAAAAATAAAAATAAAAATTATTTACTCACTACTTATACTAATTTTATTCATATCTATGTAAATATGTCAAGCGTATATATGTAAATATGTCGTGGAACAAGATTCGAACGCTGTACCAAGTGCAATGCGACCCATTTCTAGGCAATATATACATATACACATGTATGTATATGTATATGTATATGTCCCACTAGCACAGCCAAGCAGACTAAGGTGGCATGACGAACTCAGTGATGACGGCATCCACCATGCGCTGCAGAGTGTCCTGCAGCTCATCCCAGTCCTTCTCCTCGGGCAGGCCGAACATCTCTGCGTAGTAGCGCAGCTTCGGCTCACTGCTGCTGGTGCGGAACGTGATGACCATTCCGTTGTTGAAGGTGAACGTGAGCAATTGCCGACTGGCGCTGATCATCAGGCGTGGCTTCAGGTCGGGGAACGACGTGTCCAGGCCCAGCGTCAAGTCGCGCACATACCGCACCTCGAACTCGCCATTGAGGATGCACTTGGGATAGGTGCCCATGGTGTTGTCCTCATGGCTGCGCATGCGATTGCAGATGGCGGTGACCTCATCCACATTGCTGTAGTGCAGCGCGCTGACAATGGTGGCATGATAGCCATAGGTGTCGTAGATTTCGCGCAGCTTCTCGATCAGCGTCACGTTGCGAGTGCTCCGCAGGTAGCAGGCCATTGTGGCCACCTGGACGGCGGCGGAAATGCCGTCCTTGTCGGGTACTTTCACGTTAAACATGAAGCCAATGGGCTCCTCGAAAGCGAGCAGCACCGTTTTGCCAATCGCCGCCAACTCCAGCGCCTTGTTGGCCATCCACTTGAAGCCCACCAGGGTCTCTACGAACGTGAAGCCCTCGGCTCTGGCCATGGCGGCCAGAATCTTCGAGCTGCCCACGGTGGATATCATGACACAGTTCGATACATTGGGCTTTGGCGTTCTGGTCTTGTAATTCTCCAACGCCCACCAGCCGAGCAAAGCGCCCAGCTCGTTGCCATTGAACTTCTTCCACCTGCCCTTCGGATCGAGCTCAGCCACACCCAAGCGATCCACATCGGGATCGTTAGACAGAATGATGGTACAATGTTCCTCCTCCGCTTTCTTTATAGCCAAATTCAAGCAGCCCAGACCCTCTGAAAGAAAGATTTATGTGCATTTGAACGATCTCAGTCTGCTTATTCTTACCTAGAGGACTTGGAAAATGAAGAGTGGGAAATTCGGGATCTGGGTCCTTTTGCTGCAGCACCGGAATGACGGGCTTCAGTCGCGCCTGGTAGAACGCCTCACGGACGTAGTGAAAGCCAACCCCGTGGAGCGGGGTGTAGATGAAGCGCAGTTGACTGCACTCGTTAGTCTCGATGAATGAGAAGGGTAGCTGAGTCTTCAGCTGCTCAAAATAGGCCGAGTAGACCTCTCGGAACGGATCGAACAGCAGTGGGTTATCATCCAGTATGGACAGATCCCAGGAGGATGCCAGCGGCTCCTGGTGCTTCAGCATCGCTGCCTGTAGGTTTTTGTCGTGTGGCGTTAGGATGGGCGCTCCATTATCGAAATAGATCTTGAAGCCGTTATCGGTTTTCGGATTGTGAGAGGCTGTTATTGCCACGCCGGCCAGGCACTTCAGATGCACCACGCCGAAGGCCACGAACGGCGTGGGCACCATCCGATTGAATAGGTACACCCGAAAGTTCTGGTTCAAGAGCACGGCCGCTATCAGCTGGGAGAAGCGTTTGCCGTTGTAGCGCGCATCGTGGCCGACGATGACGCCCTGAGTCTCGCGCTTCTTCACGTTGGGATGCATCTCCACCAAATAGTTGGCGAGGCCCTGGGCCATTTGAATGGTGACTAGATCGTTGATCGAATCGAAGCCCGCTCGCATCCCGGATCGGATGCCGCCCGTGCCGAAGCCACAGCGGCGGCAGAGACGGGCGCGCAATGCGTCCCAGTCCTTGTCCTTGATGGCGTCGACCACCTGCTGCACCGTGGCCGCATTGCGGTCCCACAATATCCAGTTTTTGATCTGCAGATCGAGATCCTGTTGCCCGGACAGCTGTAGGGTTTCAAGCAGCTCCGCTCCTGTGGTTGGAATATTTGGTGCTAGCATTATAAAATTTAGATATTATCGTATTAAAAAATGTCAAAACAAGTTCCAGATCTGAGAGCTGTCTGCCCCTGTCTCAACTGAGTTGTAGAGCAACTCTATTTCGACCCACACAGCATTTGCATGGCCCGGCCAACAGCGAGGCGCTGGGCCACGTTCGAGTTGACCAATTGAAAATTTATGTGAAGCTCATCTCGATTTACGACCATCAAATACGGCCCCGGGGACCGACCCCACCGACCCCACCATTTGGACTAAGCACTGACAACCACAAATTGATCCATTGGCAATTTGATTTTGGCTGCTTGATGAATTTATGGCCAGCCACGACAATTGCCAAATACAGTTAAGATATTGCAGCTAAAGGATTTCTCTGCTGCAATAAATTTCTATACTTTTTTATCCCCACCCCAGTCTATGTGTGTGTGTGGAAGCATTAACATGATTTCAATTTGTCATCAATTATGCAAAGCGGGTCTAGAGCCCCCAACCTGCGCCCATTAACCGTTCATGTTACGTGCTGCAAACTTGGCATTTCCACGCTGCAAGTGTGAGTAATTTGCAACGGTAATTGGGTTACACAGGCGCATGCAACATTTATCAGGCAGGTAACCCCACGACGAGGCATTAGATACACCTCCCCCTACGGCCCTCGCCCCCGCCTTCTGCACTCTCTGTTTGTTTTGGCACTCTCTATGCTGCTCTGATCCAGTAACACCCCATTCCCACACACACACACACACACACACACACACACACATACATTGGCACGTCAATTGCATTCTAAACATTCAACGCAATGGCTTTTCGGCTGGAGCCCAGCCACAACTCATCGGAATGCAGTCGCAGTAGCAGTTGCAGTCGCTCTGGCAGTCTGAGTCGCATTCTCTCTCTCTCCCTCTAACTCTCTCTCTCTCTTTGTCGCTGGCATAGAATTAGTTGAGAGCACACAAAATGCATTTCGCGTCAAATTGTCAAAGTGTTAATTAAAAATGGACACTCGAATAGGCAGGCAGGCAGGCGGCATAGACACATATTACCACGCCTACAGCTACGCCCACTCACTCATACGCCCACATATGCTCTGCCTGCTGAGGCACTCAAATTGACCTCGCAAATTCCCTTGCCCTGTCGGCTTAACTTTACATTTTTGGTACAATATTGGGCGGAGCATTCAAATTGATGAATGCAGAAAATTTAATATACTTTAATCTTAGCTCAAGAGAATTAATCTTAAAAGAAGTAGCACTTGGAGTTGTGTTATAAGAACAAGAGATGTTTTGCTACATCCCTGGTAATCCAAAGACTTTCTTGTACAACAATCTACAGGCAGATGAGAAATTTAAGAATAGGGTTCAGTTTATAGTAAGCTGTTTCGTGACTTAAAACTAGAAGGAATTTCTTATACAAGCAAATGCAACTAAGGTATTCAACAGCTAAATATATTGATAACAATCACTGCTATTAAATATATAAAACTGATTAGACTGGTTTATTATTTTCAAAATGAAATAGAGAATAGATTAAAATTCTTTGGCTGTTATGATTGACTTTGTGCTTACGTCTTGTATTCAAAGTACACATAGTCCCTAAGTGCCTGTTTCTTGTTCAGATAGATTTACTGTCTGTCTGCTACCATGTATGTGTATATATTTGGAACCAGTTCTATCCACTTATCAAACAGGATGCCAAGATGTGAATAGAAATAATAAGAGCTGAGTACAGCGTATATTCTTATGGAGTTTTCTGCATCGAAAAAAGTCTGACCTTTAATTATTTTACGCTTGCTATTCATATATAGAAAACTGTATATATTATTAGTACTAGATAGGGCTACAGGAAAGGATACTTCAATACCCTCCACACAGCTTAGTTTTCATACTTAAAAAATTCAATTCATACAGTCTTCTCACTATTCCCAGTTAAATTTAGGAGACTTTTTTGAGCTACATTAAAGTTTATATAATAAGCGCACTACTCCAACTCACATTCTTTGATTTTCGCCTTAACTGCTTTATGGCTCTATCTATTTTTGGTGCTTTGGCTAATTTTCCAATTTGCATAGAAAATAGCTAGGCAATTTATTTGTTTGTGCTTGCGTTTTTTTTTCTATGACACAGGCCATAAAATCTTTTCCTGCGGCAACAAATATTGGGTGTTTACGGCGTATGCTCTACGGCTGTGCACATTTATGCACTTGTGCCGTAATGTGCTTTGCATAATTTTAATCGTTCTGATCTGTGAGAATGTGAAAATGGGAATGGGAATGGGAATTTGAGATTATGGTGAATAGACATTCGCCCGACCCGGCCTATATAATCGACGTTGATTCCTTTTGTTTTGGGACAAGCGAACTGCAAAATTGGCGTTGTGTGAATCTTTTATGGCACCCCCGAGTGCCCTCCGCTCACGATGCGAGAGCATGTGAGGGAAGCCAAAGGAAGTCCAATATCTAATGCTATCAAACCTATTAAAATGCTAATTTATACATTTGCGAAGCCACAGGAAATGGTACCAAAAATATAGAGCGAGCTGACTTTACGAAATACATTTCAAATAAATTGTGAAAAAGTGAAATCTGTCAGAGCTGCGTCTCTTGTCATTCAGAAGTCAATTGCAGGAGCGAAAGCAGGAGCTAATGCGTAAGCGGAAGCAAAAGCACCTGCCTGCTAGAATCCATTAAATTAAAACCAAATCATTCATCTCATCTCGGATGCCGCTCAAATTGACTTTGACACTTTATGCGTCCATGGAAATATGTTGGACACTTTTGGCCCAGAGCTGAAAAGTGGTTTTTAATGTCTCGAACGAGGACATTTAACTGTCGCCTGACAAATGCGAAATACATGCAAATGGCCCGAGCTGAACTTTTGTTGGCTAAATCCAATTCGATAGGGTATTAATCAAAGGCTCTCAGCTCTCAGCTGTCTAGATTTCAGTTTCACTTTCAACTTTCAGCTCTCAGACGGGGGATAGTTTGGCTTCGCAAAAGGAAAAAAAAAGTGAAATAAATTTGCGTAATTTGTTTGTGTGGCTTTTCATATTTTCAATTTGAGTGCTCGAATATATTTGCCCAACTCCCCGTTTCCAAATGCCAAAATGTGAAAATGAAATTTACATCATTTGTTTATTTGTATCGCTCATGTCCTGTGGTCTTGCAAAAAAAAAAAACAACAGCAACAACAACAAGAAAAACATGTCCTTGGGGGAAACCTGCACAGCACAGTCGCAGCAATTCATTTTTTACATTTTTATTTTACCGAAGAAGGAAGGCAGAGAGCACATCGCAAATTTGATTACCGCCCAACAAAATGTTTGCATATATATAAATATACTTTTTTTTTGCAACCTCTCTCTCTCTCTCTCCCCTTCTCTGGGTACATTTCCGTACCATCTTTGACCGTCTTGCTTGCGTCTGGCACATACTTTTAAATTAACGCATTATGTTTATGTATTAGATGCAAATACAAATGCCCAGTCGCATCGCCCAAGGACCTTCACACATCGCTAACCAAAGGGTCAGAAATCCAATTTGAGAAAATTTTTCATAAAGCTTTGCCCTTTTTGTACCCTATAAAAACGATAGCAGAAGTATGATATAACGGCAAATGTTTTTGGGCGAAACTAGATTCAAGAGTGTGGTAATATATAGACAAAAATAATAAATAAATATAACTACTGTATATATAAAAAAAAAAAAAATAAAAATAAAAAATAAATAAAATATAAAAAAAAACACAAAACAAAAAATTAAAAATTTAATTATACAAAATTAGTTAATAAAAAAATGTATATATATATTAATTTAAATTTAAATTACAAATTTAAACTATACTAAATTAAAATTAATAATACAAATAAATATAATATAAATATATATTTATAAATATAAGTTTATATAATTTTTAATATATATTTTTTAACATTTAAAAATTAAAGAAAAAATTGAAATGTTAAAATTATAATTATAAAAATTAAAATTAATAAAAAAATAAACATATTCATTATTATTAATTTATTATTATATATTAATTTATTAATATATATTTATATATTTATAAATATTCAGAAGATACATACGTTTTTATATATTGTTTTTTATATTTGTATATTTATTTATTTATTTATTCGTTTATTTATTTATTTTTTTTTTTTAATAATTTTACTAATTTATTTATTTATATATTTATTATACCTTTGAGTTTATATATTACTAAAACTAACTTAATGCCAAACATTTTATAAAAGGCCTTCTTCAGATTCTTTTATAAATAGTTGCCTTCAAGCTATATTCTCATGATTAATGCATATGCAGCATAGGCTCTCCTTCTGGCTGCCTATATTACAGGGTATGTCGTAGTTTCAGCTGTTCCTTTAGCGCCTCGCCACACATTCAGAACATTCTTACATGAGAAATCTAAAGAACAAACATTTTTATTGCACATCAAATTTGGTCCACGTCTGCGGCTCAGTCGTCTGTGCAGTCAGCTTCAAGGCAGGAGAAGGAGGACAAGGAGCAGCAGCAGAGGCAGCCTCGACAATCAAGTGAAGGCTCACAGAATGAGAAATACTTTTGATTTCATTCCGCCACAACGAGAAACACCAAGTGCCCTGCAACTGGACCGAAAATTGTCTACGGACCAAGGACTGGCAGTCATCTAGGACCCGTTGCTACTCACTCATACACAGAGTCGTGTCTAATTGGAAACGGTCGAGCTTTGATTGCTTGGGCAGGCAGCCTGCGAAGAAGATTAGAGCAGCTCATAAGCGGTTAGGCAATCACCATTAGAATCGCCCTGGATTGGCCCAACTGCCTGGCTAATTGCACGTGCCCTGGCGGGGGGAAGTAACTCGACAGAAGTCGAACTAAAATTGGGAATGATTTCATTTTGATGCTGATCTAATCAGCTGATGATGTTGAAGCTTCCCAATGTGATTTTCATGTTTGCTTGGATGGAGGCTCTGTGAGATGTGACATGCAAAATGACATAGACACAGACACACACACACACATACATACGCACACGCACACG